CAGCTGGGCGCGCCACCGCCGCTGGCGCCGGCCCGGAGCGCGGCCGCGGCGATAGGCCCGCCGGGCGGCGCCCGCGCGCAGTGCTGGAGCAGCGCCTCCGCGCGGTCGCCCAGGCGCCCCCGTGTCTCGTGGGCTGCGGGCCAGACGTCGCGGCCCAGCGTTGCTGGGTGCCGCTCGGCCTTTTCCCGCTCATCCGCCGCCGCCGCCGTGCTGCCCGCCGTGCGGGGCGCCGCGGGCTGGCATCGGCTGTTCACCAGGTGCCGGACGGCGACGTCCAGGAGCAAGTCCTGCACCTCTGGAATGCCGCACGCCCAGACGTCGAGCCACGCCTCGTGGGCCGCCGCGGCGAGCTCCTGGACGTAGACCTCCTGCCTGACGTACGCCCCCGCCTCCTCCAGGATGTCAGCGTAGGGGCCGCGGTCGCAGGAGACACCGCGGTCCCCGTGCGCGCCCAAGATCTCTCCGCAGGGCTTCTCCGCGGCGGTGCGCTCGTTCTGGCCGCGGGTTTCTGGGGGCAGCCGCGCCGGCAAGCCGAATCGCCACCTGACCGCCTCGACCCACTCGCGGTCGGCAAAGGCAACGCCCGGCACGTTCAGCTCGGAAACGACAGCGGCACTGGCCGTCGGCCCGCCCGCGCTGAGCAAACGCGTGCGGTCGCGCGCGGAAGCGCCGTCCAGCATGCCGTGAAAGGCGGTCGCCGCGGAGTGGTACAGGCAAGTGCTGAGGAGGTGGCGTTCCGGCGCTGCTGGTCGGAGCGGGTCGCTGGCAGCGTCCGCCGGCCAGCTGCCGCGCCCCGTGAGCGCGACGACGCCACGCGCCACGCGCCGTGAGTGCTGCCCCCCCCCACCTTCCCTCGCCCTCTTCCTCGCGCCCCCGCCCCCCGGCCTGGAAAGGGCGCGGTCCAGGGCCGGCAGGGGCCCGCAGGCCAGGATCAGCAGAGGCCCAGAAAGCTGAGATCATCCTCCTCATCCTCTCCCTCCTCTTCCTTTGAGCGCCCTGCCGATCTGGAAGCGCGTCGAAATCAACGGCCGATTCTGGCGCGAAACGAATCCCGCAACGTCCTCCAGAATGCTCAACCGAGGTTTCAGAACGCACGTCGTTTTCATTGCAGCGGAGAACAAACTTCACCCGGGGTCCCGGAAACCACAAGAACGACCGACTGTTATACATGATTCCACAGGGAACCCTGATATTTACCAGTCCAGAACCAGGGCGCTCGGCCTGGCGGTCACCTCCCCGCCCAAATCCGAAATCAAGACGCTGGGCGTCGAATGCGGCGTGACGCAACCCTGGGCCCGCAGCGAATTTGTCGACGTACCCCGTGTTGAATTTCCCCAGCGCCAGGACCCACTGGAACTGGGTCGCGTTGGTGACGAAAGCGACGGAGCTCGCCTCCCTCACCCGCCGCTTCCAAACATCCCTGGGAAGGCGCCTCTCGCCGGCAACCAGCGCCCAGAAGATGGGTCGGGGGTTCGAGGTCGGGGCCCCGGGGGATGGGGCCCCGGGGAATGGGGCTCCTAAGGGCGACGGGCCAAGCACAGCGCAAATTCAACATTGGACACGTGCCTATCCTTAAGGCCTCATGGGCCCCATCGTTGAACAGCCGAACGGTTTTGGACGCCCGAAATGGGAACGGAAAGAATGGGCACAATGCCCAACAACAAGTGTTGTCCCAAACCAACAGCGGCCGCTGTTGGGCAGGCGGCCTTCTGTCCCAAACGACCACAGGCCGCGGCGGCGCGGCCAGCGAGTCCTGTTCAGAATAAACAATCGGGGAGACGTAAGACCCGGGTACGGGGGACTCGGAAATCCCCGACGAGGTCGTCAAAAAAATGACGAGGCCGAGCCTGCATTTTGACGAGGCCTCCCGCTGCAGACATCCCACGAAACTCCTGCTCGTCAAAATCCGAGGCGCGGTCGTCAAAAAAAAAAATGGCGAACCCGAGTCCTGGCAAACCCGGGCCTTACGCTCCCCCGGAACAAGAACTGCTGTTGGGCATCGCACCCATTCTTTCCGTGCCCATCTCGGGCGCCCAGAAGCGGGGGCACGGGAGTTCGCGCGGCCCCGGGGCCACGCGCCGCGCCGAAGCAGCGGCGCACGGCCCCCGGGGGCCCTCCCCCGGCGCGGCCGCTCGACCGCCCGCGCCCCGACCGCGCTGCGCCCGTCCCCCGGGTGGGCGCAGCAACCGCGCGCGTGTCCTTCCGCCCCCGCAGGGGCCATCCGCACCGACCTCTGCTGGACGACGCCCTGGCGCCCCGACGCTCCTTCGCCGTCTCATCGTTGGGCGGGTTGCCCACCAGCCCCCGGTACTTCTCCCGCGCCGCAGGGGCGGCCTCGTCGGAGAGAGAGGGCACGCCGCCCACCGGCAGGCCGAACGGCTTGCCTCCGTTCGCTGCGCCGAACGTGTTGGAAAGGGTCGCGATGGCGCAACGCTTTTTTAGCTGGAGCAACCCAGCCTCGCTCAGCGAAAACATCCGATAGCCCTCTTCGGAATGGGCCCTGGCACTGCGCATCCCCCCCCAGATTGCAACCTGATGGGCAAAAAAGGAGGGGCGAAAGGAGGGAGGAAGGACGAGGAGTGAGCGAGGAGGGGGCAGGGAGAAGCGAGGAGCGGGAGGAAAAGAGGCAGGATGAGAAGGGGGGATGAAGGATGTAGGTAGGTGGAAGGACGGAAGCTAAGGGAAGCCGGAGGAAGGGGACAGGAGGGCGGCTTGGCCGCATGGTGGCGAGAAGGAAGGCGAGGAGTAGGATGAGGCTGAGGCAGACAGAGGGATGAGTGGGTACATGTGGGCATCGTTAAATCGGGAAGGTGGGTGGGATACGACTTGGGGCGGTAACTCGGGCAGGGGCAGTGTATAGGGGCACGGGCGGAGCAGCAAGAGGCCAGCTTCGCCGAGCGCCGACGAGGAGCACTGGTCATCGGGCTACCCTTTGTAAATCCTCCTCCTCCTCCGACTCCTCCTCCTCGTCATCATCATACGCAACAATCGTCGTCATCATCGCCGTCGTCATCACCATCAACAGCATCATCATCATCACCATCGTCATCAGCACATCAAGATCATCGTCAATATCACCAGACATGGTGCAAGACCCCCTTGCACCATGTCCGATGCCCTTTTCTGGTCAGGCTTGATCCGCACTACGGCAAGGCGGTCTTGCGAGAGACAGACAGACAGACAGACAAACAGGCAGACGGACGGACGGACAGACAGACAGACGGACAGACAGAAAGAGAGAGAGAAACACAAACAAAAGCTCTAACAAGAGCCACAACAGAGCTCGAGCTTTAAATGGCTCCAAGGTGACACCAACATGGTTCGGTACCCTTTTTACTCTGCGGGCCGACTGCAAAAGGGCACCACCCCACCTGTGCCCTTTCCTGGTCGGCTCGCGGAGTAAAAGGGCTCTGGTGGGGCGGTGCCCTTTTGCAGTCGGCCCACAGAGTGAAAAGGGCACCGAACCATGTTGGTGCCACCTAGGAGCCATCTAACGCTCGAGCTCTTTTGTGGCTCTCGTGAAAGCTCGTTGGTGCATCCTTTTTTTTTTTTCTCTCTCTCTCTCTCTCTCTGTCTGTCTGTCTCTCTTTCTCTCTCTCTCTCTCTGTCTCTCGCGAGACCGCCTTGCCGTAGTGCGGATCAAGCCTGACCAGAAAAGGGCATCGGACATGGTGCAAGGGGGTCTTGCACCATGTCTGGTGATATTGACGATGATCTTGATGTGCTAATGACGATGGTGATGATGATGATGCTGTTGATGGTGATGACGACGACGGCGATGATGACGACGATTGTTGCGTATGATGATGACGAGGAGGAGGAATCGGAGGAGGAGGAGGAGGAGGATTTACAAAGGGTAGCCCGATGACCAGTGATGTTGATGATGATGTTGATGCTAGGAGCCCTTTTTACTCCGCGAGCCGACCAGGAAAGGGCACCGGTGGGGCGGTGCCCTCTTGCAGTCGGCCCGCAGAGGTGGCAAGAGCACCGAACCATGCTGGTGCTGCCTAGGAGCCATCTAAAGTTGGGACTATTTTGGGGCTCTCGTGAAGGCTCTTCGGGGCATCTCTCTCTCTCTCTATGTCTCTTGTTCTCTCCCTCTCTCTCTCTGCCTCTCTGTCTGTCTGTCTGCCTGTCTGTCTGTCTGTCTGTCTGCCTGCCTGCCTGCCTGCCTGCCTGTCTGTCTGTCTGTCTGTCTGCCTGCCTGTCTGACTGTCTGTCTGTCTGCCTGCCTGCCTGCCTGTCTGTCTGTCTGTCTGCCTCTCTGTCTGTCTGTCTGTCTGTCTGTCTGTCTGTCTGTCTACCTGCCTGTCTGTCTGTCTGTCTGTCTGTCTGTCTGTCTGTCTGTCTGTCTGTCTGTCTCTCTCTGTCTCTGTCTCTCTCTCTCTCTCTGTCTCTCCCTTTCTCGCAAAACCCCCGTGCTGTAGTGCGGGTCAGGCCTGACCCGAACTACAGGCCCCCCCCTGGCAGCCCGGGCCCTCCGAAATCAACTCGCAAAAACCCCTTGCTGTAATGCGGGCCAGGCCTGACCCGCATTACAACCCCCACCTTTGGCACCCTAGGCCCTCCGAAGACCCCGTGCTGTAGTACGGGTCAGGCCCGACCCGCATTACAGCCCCCCCCTTGGCAGCCCGGACCGTCCGAAACCAACTCGCAAAAACCCCTTGCTGAAGTGCGGGTCGGGCACGACCCGCACTACAATCCTGTAGTAAAGGTCGGGCCCGTCCCCTACTACAGGGGGGGATCTGCAAGGGGGGGGACAGTAGTATACAAGCCCTGTCAAAGAGATCCCCCCTTCAAGAGGAGGCTTGCTCACCGCAAGACCCCTTCGCTGTAGTGCGGGTCTGGCCTGACCCACGCTACAGCGCCCCCCCCCCTTGGAAACCCAGGCCCTGCGAAACCAACTCGCAACACCCCCTTGCTGCACTGCGGGTCTGGCTCGACCCGCAATACACCCCCCCCCCCTTGGCAGCCCGAGCCGTCCGAAACCAACGCGCAAGACCCCAGTGCTGTAGTGCGGGTCAGGCCGGACCTGCGCTGCAGCCCCCCCCCCCGAATGGCAGCCCGAGCGTTCCGAAACCAACTCGCAAGACCCCTTGATGTAAAGCGGGTCAGGCCTGACCCGCACTAGAGTAAGGGGGCATTGCGAGAAAAGGGGGAAAGAGAAAGAAAAAGAGAGAGAGAGTTAGAGCAAGAGAACGAAAAAGAGAAAGAGAGAAACTGATCAACAGACAGACATACAAACAGACAAACACACAGAGAGACAGACAAACAGACATATAGACACACAGACAGACAGACAGAGATACAGACAGACGGACACGCAGACATAAGGAGACAGAGAGAGAGAGAGAGACTGACTGACTGACAGACATGCGGATATATATGGAGAAAAATACTCCCTGCGTGGAGTTCCCCACCCGCGCATCCCATGTTATGCGTCATGCCATAGCGAAAGTATGTTCATGAGCGCTTGACTATGATAGCGCGTCCACATGGGCGACAGGGCCGACGAAGATGAGCGAACCCGAATGCGAGTGAGCGAATATGGGTTCCAGTGAGTTTTGACTACGATTGAATATGAGCATCCCGTTCATCCCCCCCCTCAGCTGCCAGGCCGCGCCCTCCTCAGCCTGTTGTAATGTGCGAAGGTTTTAGGTTAATTGGCAGTGGGATATGTAATACGAGCGCTTAGCCACGCGAGGCCATCTGTGCATATCATGTTGTAGGATAGTGCCACGCCAAGCACTTGTCCATGATAGATGTTTGCTCCACGAACGCGCCCATGTGAGCGGCGAGCGCACGCGCGCGCAGCGCGGCTGCACATCCACCGCGCGAACGCATTCATTAACATGCGTATGCCCGCGCATCTTTGTCAAGGCGAAGAATTCCTTCGGCGCCGCGTCCGAAGCGCCAGGGGGGCACGAATGACAAGTGCTTGAAACGGCACCTCGCGACCTGCACCTCAGCTCTAACCGCCCGCGCTGCGCGTCGGGCCTAGCGGGCAACGCAAACAGAAGTCGCAGGCACATGACGTACAAAAGGCAACTGCTACAAATGGCACCCTCGCGGTTTGCGCTTCGGTTTTGGCCGTCCGCACGTGGCATCGGGCCTAGCTGGCAACGCAAGAAAAACCTTCTGCACTTGGCATCGGGGCGAAGGGCCAGGGGCACGACGCGAATCACTACGTCTGTGACCTCATATCTGCCAGCTGCGCCATGTCGGACTCTTGGTCGGCCCCCACCGCGATGTCCCGCGCCCAGAGCCCCGTTGACGCCGTCGCCTTCGTTCGCAGCCGCGCTGGAATAAGAACCGTGCCCTTCCAGCACCTGATATGGTTATCGATCGTTTCGTAAATGGCGCCGTCATCCAGCAACTGAGAGACTGCCGCATCTGTCTCCGTGGGCGACAGGCCCAACTCCGTTGCTGCGAAGGTGCCCAGATCTGCGCAACTTGCTCCGACAGTCGAAGCTCCGCCCACGGAAGCCAGCCGTGCCAAAAGGTTGTCGAACGCCCGAGCAAAACGCGCGGCTGCGCTGACAGCGGCAACGCTTGCCCCCGAGGGCGTCGCATTGGTCGAGCCTTGATTTGCACTCCCTGGCGCCGTTCCCAGGGACCAGCACGCCTCGACTCCTTCCTCCGTGCGTCCCAGAGGGTACGCGCCGGAGCACGACCCAAGGGACCACCACGCCTCGACTCCTTCCTCCGTGCGTCCCAGTGCGTCCCAGAGGGTACGTGCCGGACCACGACCCAAGGGAACAGCACGCCTCATCTCCTTCCTCGCAGCATGAAAACGAGCAAACCGCCTGAGACATCCCCGCAAAATGGCCGCGAACGGGCCCGTGTCCTATCCCGTGGCGGCTCCCCTTGGGGATTATGAAACCAGCGCCCCGCCTGATAGATCCTCAAAATCTGCCCCGAAAGCCAAGGAAATAGGGCATGAAAACGAGCAAACCGCCAGAGACATCCCCGCAAAATGGCCGCAAACAGGCCCGTGTCTTACCCCTTGGCGGTTCCCTTTGGGGATGCTGAAACCAGCACCCCGCCTGAGACATCCTCAAAATCTGCTCTGCAAGCCAAGGGTGTTGGGCATGGAAACGAACAAACCGCTTCAGACATCTCCACAAACTGGCCGCGAACGAGCCCGTGAAAACAGCCCTGGCGGCTCCCCTTGGGGGTGCTGAAACCAGCGCCCCGCCTGAGACATCCTCACAATCTGCTCTGAAAGCCAAGGATGTTGGGCATGACAACGAACAAACCGCTTGTGACATCCCAACAAACTGGCCGCGAACGGGCCCGTGAAACCAGCCCTGGCGGCTCCCATTAGGGGTGCTGGAACCACCGCCCCGCCTGAGACATCCTCAAAATCAGTTCTGAAATCCAAGGATGTTGGGCATGAAAACGGACAAACCGCCTGAGACATCTCCACGAACTGGCCGCGAACGGGCCCGTGAAAACAGCCCTGGCGACTCCCTTCAGGGGTG